ATTGTGGGAGAGGAGGGTGTTAAGGGGAGATTCAACTTTGTCTGCACATGAGATTCAGCAATCAGTGGCCAGTAATTGATGTAGGAATTGATGTTTGAAACTGGGGTAATCTCAGCCAGTGCAAAGCATAACTTCTTGTCCATACTTTAGGTTTTCACTGGTGCAGCTATACCATTAGCTGGTCCCCAATGGCTGAATCAGTGCTAATCCCAAATCCCTTTTGAAAAGGGAGAGAGTAAGTGGCCTTACAGATCAGCTGAGCAACTAATGAAACAGAAATAACAGACAATGTTATGATGTAATATGGGAAATCCTGTGTTACTAGAGGAGCCCTTTGGCCCAAATCCTGCTTCTACTGAACACAACTCAACCCCTGCATTGACATCAAGAGGATCTGGATTTTGCCTTTAACAGATTTTTAAAGGCCAGAATTGATTCTCTCCTTTTCCTATGGAATTCCAGTTTGCATCTAGCAATGGGCTGCGAACCCTTTCCATGTGCACGTGAGAAAAGGAGGCCACCTCTCAGGTATGCACTGGAGAAACTTTACAACAAGACAAAAGAAAATATTCTTTGTTCACTACCATTGATCCAAACTGGAGTGTGTGTGGGGTGGCGTGGGGGGAGGAAAGCAAAGCACATTCCTTAAGACTGAAGACTGTAGGGGAGTTTATTACTCCAACCCCACAAAGGCAAAGAGAGGACAAATGCCAGCACGGGACATCAATTTCAGAGTCCTTACTGAGGCGTACAGTACAGTGAAATTCATGAAGAAAAATGTAAATAACAACAGCCTTTCTTAGACCTCTGGAATTAGAATTAATCACCACCTCAGCTAGTGGTTAGGAAAATAAAAATCCACTGGAAATAACAGGATTTGACTGAGAATGGCTGTGTATTAACTTTTAAAAAAGAAAAGGAGTACTTGTGGCACCTTAGAGACTATCCTTTTCTTTTTGCAAATACAGACTAACGCAGCTGTTACTCTGAAACCTCTTATTAACTTTAAGATGTCTTAACCCCTTGCATTTGCCTTTACACTTGCTAAGTTCAGGTCCCCTGAAGGTCTGGTATATAAATAAAACAAAAGACTATAATAAGACTAATGCCTGTTCTGATACTGATACTAACCATGCATGGACTGAAATCAATCACAAAATTTCTGTGGACTAAAACAGGATCTGGATTTGGCCCCAAATCTTTATGATTTTATCTTTATTTGTTTTCCTTATGAAAAAAGTGCAACTTCAGTAATTAGAATAAGAAAGTTAGAGGCTGTACTAACAAAATATACAGTACATTGACAGACTCTGGGACTATGTAAAACAATCCCCAAATGTGGGCACTTAAAAAGCTGCATAAATACGCACCTGTGTTCTAGCTGCCGGCAGTCCCAGGCATAACACCCTGCACAAATCAGTCCTGTCAGGAACAGGAATAACAGTCAAGAGGGGCTGTGCATAAGGCCATAGCTAATTCAGAGGATGTACCTCCAAAAATGTGCAGACCATGTTTCTTGGCACAGAGCCCCTACCTTGAAATGCCACCCTCGCTAGCAGCTTCTACCCCAAAGGGTTTGCAGAGTAACTCCTACTGCTGGATCTGGTTGACAGCCAACTTTTACACTCTGCTCTGGCTGTTAAGTGTGAGGTCTCAGGACACTCCTAGTAAAGGCCCTTTTTCAACAGATGGCTTAAGCACGTGCCTAACTTTAATCACATGTATACTCATATTCATTCAGATCTAAGCACATGCAGAATGTCAGGCATATGCTTCCATACCCTGCTTAATTGGGGACATCATTTGGTCAATAATTGATATCCATGTGCCTGATCCAAAGCCCACCAAGTCAATGGGAAGTGGTTCACTGACTTTGATGGGCTTTGGCTCAGGCCCTATATTCTCATATGTAGCAGCTAACTATAGAAATATAGATAGGATTTAAAGGACAAATAAAGGATCTTAATTCTACTTCATCATCTATACAGTGGGGACAATATTTCTGTAAAGCACTTTGCGATCCTCAGATGAAAGGTTCTGGATAAGTTCAAAGAATTATTATTATTATTTACACAGTTTTAGTTGTTATATGATATGAGTAATGTTACTATTTTTGTAAGTAAACCTCTTAACTATCAGTTTCCCCCTTAGTATCATACTAAATTATTATTGCTAATATGCACATAACAGCCAATTAGCCTATCTGAGTGCACTCATGACCTCTGATCCCCGCTGTGTCACCCGATCCATTAACAGGCACTCAGTCCTTTAGCTCTCAGTATGAATTGATGTAGTACCTATTCTCTTTCAGCAAGGAAACATGCTTCTGCATTCATCTGTCCATTTCCACTTTCTGTGCTTTTGTCTTCTCCTTCTGTTCCCTGTGTTGCTAACCTGGTCACAACTTCTTGACCTCACGTTCCTATCCTTCCCAAGGGTGTTGTAATCCCCATCACTGCAGAAAAACTTTTACTTTTCTTTTTAACCCACATTTTGCTCAGCAAAAACAGCTTCCAGCCCTGTGGGACCTTTGATCCCCTATTCAAGAAGCCCTTGAAAAGTTTTTAAGGACATTGCCTTCTTTCTAAGGCAAATGCATTCTTCTTAAGGGGGAGACAGTAGGTGATAGCTGGTCTCTGTTCAGTTGACGAAGACAAATGATCCCTGTTATTACTTGAAAAGAGGAACCGTTGGGTAATTGGGGTTCAGTTTTAATAAGGATCCATTTTTGGAACATCTAAATTAAGGAGGGGAGAACTAATTTTGCCAAATTTAAAAGCACCTGAAAATAAAATTTTATTGGTATATAGCAGAATGCAAAACTTTTGTGGTTCAAGTTTTGTGTGGATCTGGATAAACATGAATTCTGGGCTGTTGCATGTTTCTTTAAAAAAATGGTTTCCTTGTTCTTCCCAGAAGCAGGACAAGACTTTATTTCAGACAAGGACCTTTACTGTTTGCACAGCACAGGCTTCCATTTCATTAGGAATTAGTGGTGGGTCTGAACCAACACCTCAATCCAAACTCAGGATCTGGATTCACAACCAAATTTCCATCTATTCTAGGCCTTTCTAAATTATCCATTACCATGGTATCAAAATCACAATTTAGAGCCACACTACACTTTGTCTTCTTCCCTCCATCATTTCTCCATCAAACTGCTATTACTTTGTTTTTTTCAGTCTTTGTTTTTTTAAAGTTTCTTCTCATAATCTCTCCATAAGAATATTTCTTCCTGTTTGTGCATCAACTCTTTGTTATACCTTTCTACTGCAGTCATAATTCTGTGAATGGGCAGAATCAAAACCTCAGTTTCTCACACTTCCAAACTGTGGTGTTTGAATTTCAGATGTTGATTTTGCTAAACTTCCGCATCTTTGGATCTGGTATGCTAATACAGAGATGGGTTCAAGCTGTGAATTCAGATCTCAGCCTGGATTTAGAGCCAAGTTCTTGAGTTTGGCCATATCTTTATTAGGAATAATTTATTTGTTTTTTATATCTGACAGTTTCCTTAAATTAATGGTGAAAAACTAATTAACATTTAAAAAAAGATCAAATGAAACCTCAAACTACTCCTAGTCCATGACCAGGGCACCTAAGTGCTATGGTAATACAAATAATTAGTAAGTATAACAATAATACTTAGTAATAGGGATTCAAACCACCACAGAGCTCTCTCAACCCTAATCCCAATGGCCTCTGAAGATCTCAGATTAAGTCTTGATTAAGTGCTTTGCTGCATAAGGATATTTTGCTGAATCAGGTCCTCAGACCTTCTGTAAAATTCTTAGGGCTTGTCTACGCTACGGGTGGAGATCAATCTAAGTTATGCAACTTCAGTTACATGAATAATGCAGCTGAAGTTGAGGTACTTAGATTTACTTACCACGGGATCCACACTACCCTATGTTGATGGGAGATGCTCTCCCGTCGACTCCCTTGCGCTTCAGGTGGAGTACAGGAGTCGACAGGATCTACTGTCGATTTAGCGGGTGTTCACTAGACCGTCTAAATTGATCGCCGATGCAACGATTGCCACACGTCAATCTCCCCCCCCACCCCCCCCCCCGCGGTAAATGTAGATAAGCCCTTAGTGAAGGCCCCAATCCTGGAAGCTGCTCCACACATAGAGACCCTCCTGGCACCTGCACTGAGCACCTCCAACTTTTAGGATGGACCTATGGGAGCTGAAGATGCTCAGCACTTTGTAGGATCAGCTCAATTAACATAGTCCCTGATTCAGCAAGATGCCTAAGCCTGTGTCTAACCTGAAGCATGTTAGTATTCTATTGACATCTGTGGGACTATCTGCATGCCTACAACTACACAAAAGCTTTGGTACCTTGCTGGAGTGGGGAATGAGTTAGAGCTTTGTGAGCGTCTGGGCTACAGGATTTGGCTGATTATTATAAACTACCTAACTTGCACATCTTTTTCCCTATACTGCCAGACAGCGTCCCACCTAAGGGCAGTGTGATTGTTTAGTTGTTTAATAATGTGAGAGCCCTGCAATGCTTCCCAGTTCACTGAGATCCCAAGGAATCTGCTGCGTAAGTGCTGATGACAGTGGCAAATAAAGCAGCTGGGTGGCAGTTGCAACCTGTTGTCAAGGCTGAATCCCCACTCTGGCACTTCAAGTGCAGAAGGTGGGGGCCTGCAAAGATTCTAAAAATGAACACTGGCCACTCCTTGGTATTAAACTCCCAAGGTTACAGCTTTTCTCTGACCTTGGCTTGGTAAACGCTGCCACCACCCAAATGCAAAAAAACCCTTGTGAACCCAGGAAGGAGCACTTGGGAATTCCTTCCTGTGGGGTACCCTCAAGCCCTTTCACCCTGCTCCGGGGAAGAGCTGCGAAAGAAAACAAAGGAAATTAGCTGTTGCCACCAGCTAATCAAACAGCATATGCACAAACCTCTTAGGACGCAAAAATCCAAATCCTGTTCTTAAAAAAGGTAAATTTTATTAAAACAAAAAGAAAGAAAATACATCTGGAATGTAGGCTTTTGCTAGATTTTAAAAGAGCAATTCCAAAAATTAAGCACCCAAAATAGCTTTCTTGGGGTTCAGCTTAAAGGTTAAAAGCAAACAAAAGCATCTGGGGTTAGCACAGAGGCGATCCACAAGCCAAAATTAAGAAATAAACCTGATCATGTCTATCTAAACATTCCCTGTCTCAATGAATTCTTCTAGGTATGGAAGATGATTTTTCATACCTGGTTCAAACCTTACACAGCATTCCTGCTTATAGCATTGCTGCTCCGTGTCCCTGCAGCCCAGAGAGAACAACGGACAACAAAGGGAAGTTTTTTTCCAATTTTAAAAAGTTCTAGCCCTCCCATTGGCTCTTTTGGTCAGGTGCTCACTCCCCTTTTTTTCTTTTTCTTTTTTGTACCTATGCAGGGAGGCTTTTTAACCCCTTACAGGTAAAGAAAGCAGAGAACAGCTACCGAGAGGGATTTTACAGCTAACTGGCTAGCTGGGTGTCCATAAAAGGGAGCTGCCCTGCCTTCATTTATCACACCCGTGCACCCTGTTCGTCCAGGATTTCAAAATATTCTGAAGAAGGGAATCCACAACACTTGCTTATGCTCTTCCCTTTCTTGCTTTCTTTACTCCTGTTGGTCACCGCCGCTCTCTTTTTGCATAACTATCAAATTGTCCTTGGAATGCATTTCACTGAGGGGAATGTGTGGTGAATTTGGGCCTGATTCTCCACTCCCTTGCCCCTTAGTCATTTTCCCTTGTGCGGCGTGGCCATAAGTTACACTACCATTTTGTCTGTAACCTCTTCAGGGCAGGGACTCTCTACGACTGTGTATTTGTACAATACCTAGCACAATGGGGGCCCTGTTCTTGGTTGGTCCTTAGGCACTACTATAATAAACATGAATAATAATAATAATATATCCCTCCCTTTGCATAGGAGTAAATGAATACACAAGGTACAAAGCAGAGGTCAACCAGACTCTGGGTATCATTTGAATAGATGAAGCCCAGAGCCTCCCAATGGGTCTTTATCTTTGGACACTTCAGCAGTGGCTTTTATTTACTTGTTTATCTATTTGCCCCAGTAGTAAATAGTCCAACTCCAACTCCTGTGTAATGTAGCGGGTGCCTCACTTCATGTTGTCAAACATTGATTTTGAACATACGCAATTAAACCAGTTTAAATTCAAGAAGCTTCTGTCAGTTTGTCTCCTAAAGCAGACAGAGCGTTGTCTTGTCTGTCTAATCTGTGTTGGGGATCTCCTATGGTTCACCGGTGAGAAGGTAAGCAAGGGATCTTAAGTGGCTGCATGGGAGTAAATCAAGGAGTCTTTGCCGAGCAAACAGCGAGCACCAGCAAGGGAAGGTTTACAAGGTTTACCCAGCAGGACTCCACAGTGATTAGCTACACAATACAGCAATTTTAACAGTGGTTGGGAAGGAGACACGATTGCACCAGAGACTGTAACTATAGAAGCAAACAATATATTCAGCTATGCTTTTAATTATTGGGGGGAGGCTGACAAGAAGTATTTCAAATGTTGACCAGTGGGTGATGGGGGAGGAGGGGTCAAGGCTTACTGAAACCTGAGGGGGGTATCCAGAGCCAGTCTTAAAATTTGTGGGCCTTGAAGATCCTGGAAGGAGCCTTGAGTCATCTGCTACTTTAGTTATGCCTTCAGAGAGGGAGGTTGACAAGCCCCGAGTTGCAGAATTAGCATGGAATCTTGGGGTCCCTTGGAGCAGGGCTCCCTGTGGCATCTTGCTTTGTTTGTGCCAACAGCCAGCCCTGGGGGAATTCAAAGGGAACCTCCGCCAGGAAAAATGTTGTATGCCATTTAGTACAATTGGATGTATTCAACAGCCATATAACGTGTGTGCTGCGATCCTGTCATATTGCATGTGGATGGGATGGGAGATCTCCAATTATTAATAATAGTTGGGTCCACCGCCAAGGCTCACCAGCGCTGAGCCCCGGCCCCTCTAGGCTTGGCAGTTCATAACCCCGGCACCTCTGGGCTTGGCATGTCAGTTATAAATATAAAAAAATTGCTTGAGCCCCAGCAACTAATTACTTGAGCCTCAGCACCTCTTTCTTTACTAGGTTCCATAGGAAGTGCTTTTCTTTAGTCCACTCTACCCTCTATGTCTGTACTAAACCAATACAGTTTAGTTGGTGTTGGGGGCTCTGTACTGCTGGGTTCGATATAAAACCTCATTCCTAATCACTTGCAGTCATGCAACAGTCTTTTAGGGAGAGGAAGGGTGGTAAACCTGGTTTCCTGGCTATATTTCAGCTCTTCTAATTAACTTTTTCTACCTGAATTCCCCTTTTATTTTCAATTTAAATTAAACCCTAAATGGCTGTGTGTTTTCAAATGATTGTCACATTTCTCCCCAGAGGTGGCTGCATTTCACTGGTGGATGAAGTATTCTGTATTCATTCATCTGTAGAGCACTTTGAGGTTCTTAGGTATGAATATGGTGCCACATAAAAGTAAGATGTTAGTATAAATATTCTCAATTCATTACTGTCATTATGATTACAAACATTTTTTCATTCATGTCCTGCCACGTCTCAAGGTTTTTGAGGCTGCCACACTATTGCAAAGACATCTGTCTGGTCAATGCATGAGATAAATCACAGAACATAGTATATACAAACAATGCATAGGTTCAAAAGCGACACCACCAGCCTAATGTAAAGACTTCTACAGTCGCCGCATATCTGATCTTGAGACACAAACACAATACAGATAGATGGGAGCTAACAATGTGTACTAACATACGGGCCTACAAATGTAATCAATTTCTGAATTCCTTTCTGTGTACCAGTCAAACTCTGACATCAGTCTAAGCAAATCTTCTCAAAGACTTCAAAGAGCGGAGCATATTTGCTGTCCACAGAGGAGAAACAATGCTTTCCCTTTTGACCCATCTCATAATAAAGTATCTCTGATAGCACATATTAACAATGCTGACAGAAGGGCTTGCCTAAAAACATGTGATAGAAAGTGTTTGCAAGCGATGCATGATGCTTTTCTGCAAAGCATTCTGGGAATAAGATGGAAAGGAACTCACTGTATTTCTTTATGCATAGTGAAGAGCCACATATTACCACAGGGTCCAATCCTGCTGTTACTGAAATGTCAGCATTCTCCATTGACTTCAGTATGCCAGAAGAATTGGGCCTTTAGTTCTTGGCTAACCAGCTGAACTGGTAGAACAAGATTTGAAAAGTTACGTGTTCCAGAGTAGTTTGCTGTTGTTTAACTAGACTATTAAGTTTACATCTATCTGTGCCAAACATTTTTGGAGTTGCTGAAATAGCTAAATATAGATGAGCTGTCAGTTGAAAGTTAGATCCCTAATGGTTAGAGCAGAACATAAGCTGGCATTATTCCTTCTTGTCTTTGGCATCTGCTTGAGAACTCAGAGTGGATTGCTGTAGTTTTCGAGAAGAAAGTTCCCAAAGAAACTCTGAGGATGAAAAACGGACAATTAAATTGGGATGAAAATCTAAAGGGACGAGATGGTTCAGGGATTGGCAATGGGTTATGGATCCTTTCACCTCTCGACGGGTGTTTCAAATCCAAACCTGGTTGGATCAGGTCCTCAGCTTGTGTGAATCAGCACAACATCAGTCCTAGAGTTCAGCCCAGGACCAGACTCCTTAGTGCATGATGCGGATTTGCACAAGTTCCGGACCAGTCCCACTTGTCTTTACGGCACGATGGGATGTCTGAAATGATACAATGATACGGGGATAGAAGAGGAGTTCACTGCAACTGTACCGCCTTTCTGTTGGGCCACACGCAGAGGAGAGAAGATCAGTGGGTCACAGACAGAGGTGTTCCAACAAGCACGAGGGAATGGCTGAAACTCCACAACAAGTTCCTGCACACGGGGCACCAGAGTGGGAGTCAAGAGGCCAGAATCCTTTGGCCCACCTGCTGTGCCGCGTCAGGCAAGTCACGTCACCGCTCTGTGCCTCAGTTCCCCTGTCTATAAAACAAGATCTAAGGATTATAAGTGTTCTAAATGCCAATTATTATTCACTCACTGACGGGGGGAAAACCCCGTGCAGCTGCTCTCAGATAAAATCCAAAACCAGAGCCACACTATCACGGCTCTAATGCAAGTGGTGCCAAAGGAGGCGGTAACCTGATTTTGACCCAGCTTAGCCTGCAGTATCACCAGTGCTCCTTCAGAGCAAATACAAGACAATTGGTAAATGGGATTGACTTGTCTGAACAGGTGTCAGCCTTGCCTCACTTTCTTCTGGGGGGTAACAAAGAGGTCATGCCGCCTCCCGCCCCTCTTGTCAGACTTGCAGCTACAGAGGCTCACCACCAAACTTTTGAGAAGCTCTTTGCCACACACTGCCCCAGAGCCAATGGGAATGCCTGTTGGTTTCGTCCCGAGAGCCATCTGATCAGGAGAAAGCAAACAGAACGTGGAACAGAAACCAGTTTGTTATCAGGCCATTGTGGAAGGATTGTAGCAGCATTTTCTGCTGAGCAAGTTCTCTAGGCTCATGCCACTTTGCAGAAGGAGGCCCTGGAGATTGGTACTAGAGGTTAGCGTAGTGGAGGGTGGGATGCAGGACTCCTGGGTTCCAGTTCTGCCACTGACTGGCTGTGTGACACTGGGCAAGTCACTTCTCCACTCCATGCCTTAGGTTCCCCCCTGTGAAATATGTGTAAACTGCCCCCAACACTGTTGCATGTTAGAACCCAGCCACAAAACACCTTCCCTTATTATTCATTCTCCCGGCAGGAGTAATAAATACACACAGCTGGACAGCTGTTCTGTGAACACTACTGTGCTGGCCAGAGGCCAGAAGTGGACCACAAAGCTACTTTTGTACAGTAATTGATATCCATTTGAGGGCAAAATGGAAGAGAGAGAGAAAATTTGCCCTTTGTACTTTATTCCTACATGGTTCTGTTTTTAAAACAATAATTAAACGTGGGCCAGATCCTTCAGTATCAATGCCCAGAAACCTCCCATTACCTTCAGTGTGTCCCTGGGAGAGCTATCCATCTAAATGCTGCAGCAGGGAATCTGGTGTTTGTAATTTGGTGGTGCTTTCTTGTGATTCCAAAGGACCACATCAAGCCCAGGGTGGCAACTCTCATGATCTGATCACAGAGTTCATGGTATTTGGTCTTTTCTGTAAAGCCCCAGCTCCTAGGGTCACAGATTACGTGAGAATTTCAGCTCTCACTGAGGGTAGGGTCAGAAAGATGTTTCTAGCCCTCACTGTTGCAGAGGAAAAGCTTCGGGTTTTAGACTCCTAAAGGCTCAGGAACCACAAGACATAAGAACAGAACATTTATTATTTTTTACAATCTCAATCTCATTATTTTGGGGTTCATGATCTTTGAATGCACAGGGCTGGTGCAGTGTGTCATCGAGACCAATTTTCCCATCCTTTCATTTAGGACAGGATGGAATGATTTGGGGGAGGGGAAGGTGGCTTTAAGCCACCTTTTTAGGCCCCATATTGTCAGGTGGTTCAAGGTACTGCCCACCCCAGTGTGAGTTAGAGCAGATTCAGGGGTGTTGTTATGACTTTTATTTGGTTGATTATAATAAGAATTCTCAGGGTTTCTTTTTTTAATCCAACTCTACATATTCACTGTAAAGGCGAATTAGAACATAATTATGGGTCTTTTGACCTGCTGTGCTCCTAACCATCTATTGTCATGTAATAATGGCATTATTGCCCCACTGGGTGTCATGGAAAAGTCAGCTGCTAATGACTTGCTTTATTATTCTTATAGGTGGCAGTAATCGCGAATGTAAAGTGGTGGCCCTTTGTTTTGTAGCGAGTCAGAATGCGGGTTGTTACTAATATAAAGAAGTGATCTATAAAAATTTATCTTGCAGCCGTGTACGGATCTCCATTCACAAGGAATTCCCTTGTTAAAGTTTTGAACTGTAAAATAATTATCTTGCCTTGTAAAATTCTATTGCTCATAGATGAACTTTGTCATGTAACCAGCATTTGTCACTCTTCTCTTCACAACAATTCCATCACTAACACACACAAAAACCTAAACACCCCTAGGAAAGGAAGTCAGAGAAGAGGGTCCTTGAACATTATGAAAACTGCATCTCTCTTAAAAATTTGATGGCACATTTACCATGCATATTACTGTGTGTGTTATGAGAACACCTGGAGGTCTCACTTGAGATTGGGGCCCTGTTGTTCTAGCATCTGTACATACCCATTACCACAGTTGTGTGACAAAAATACATAGTAGAGCTATACACTTTTTAAAAAATACTGGTTTTATTAGGAGCAGTTAATACAGGATTACTTCTAAAATGAAAGATAACACTGTTTTCCTTTTTTGGGGGGGCACATCAGACAAAAAAAAAATCCCTTTCAGTTCATGCTCAATTTTGTAAAGCAAACAGATTGCATTTCATCCTGAACAAGCTAAACAGTGACCAAAAAGTGACATGGGTTGCTTTTGCATTATTCGTTTTGGTACTGTAGTATCTTGTGTATTTTAGGTTTGTTCTCCTTCCGCTGCCCTCACTTACTGTTATTTAGGAATAATTAATAAAATGGTCACATTAGAAAGAATGGCACAAATTCTGTGATGAGTTGCACCCATGTAAATTTTGTCGATCATAGATGAGTTCAGTGCCTACAAGGTAGTCCGGGTGGCTGGTAGCCTTTTGGGATGTGGTACCTATAGCACTAGTAATCACAAAAAAGTACAATCTCATTCCTGTAGATGCAACCTGAGAATCCTCATATTTGCTCATTAAGTGATTGCAGACCCAGTATGTCTAAACCAGCTGTATGAATGAGCTCAGTGAGTCTTTTGTGACAGAGCAGAATTCAGTTTCACTTAAGCCCCGATTCAGGAAAGCACTTAGGCACATGAGGCCTGGGGTCTGATCCAGTGCCCTCACTGAAGTCAATGGAAAGACTCCCGTTCACTTCATGATCTTCGGCTCTCCGCCCCCTTGTCCCCCATGCAACCACAGACTGTGTGGGCTGCAAGCGATGGTATGTTATACAGAATGACTCTGTAAAAGGAGATAGATTAGCCAATGAACGTTTCTAGGGTGGAGAAGCCTCTTGAATCATTTCATGAAGATGGGAAATGTTTTAGTTCTTAATCTTAACAAGTGTTCACCATATTAATAATCTAATTAAGTCAGAACTATTATAGTTGCAGCCTTCATAAATATATGCCAGGAAGTAAATAATCTTTCATGAAATTCCATAGCTGGTTATTATTTGTATTACTGCAGAACCTCGGGCCTCAGCCAAGACCACTAGGTGCTGTAAAAACACGTAAGAGACAGCCCTTGCTCAGAAGAGCTTACAGGAACAACAGACAAGACAGACATAGGGTGGGAGAAGAGTCCCAAGGCTGCATAATGCTGTGTCTTTCTAGCAAATGAAAGAGATGAGACTCGTCGCTCAACTGAGGCTTCTGTCTTGCTGATGTTTCCTAGACTTGCTGACGCACAGGAACTCAGAATCAGCTCTGATCTAAATTCGGATTTTCTGTCTCTTACCACTTCTGCTACATCAATATCAGAAGGCTTTAATCCTGCCAATGGCTGTGCCCAAGTTCATTCTTGCACCCACACAATGCCCCATTGACTTTAGTGGGGCTCTGCATGGTGCCGAGGTCTGCCTGCATGCAGGATCACGGCCTGTATCTTGTATGGTATTGCTTACTGTTGCCTCCATTAAATGCTGAGTTATTTGAATTTTCAGCCACCATCTTGGTTTTCCCCTTTCCAGAGAGGCTGGTAAATGTTTGGCTCTGATATAAATGCTTCCCTGGCTTGACTGCATTTTCCACCCACATCTTCTCACCCTTGTGTCCTTTCACTTTCTTATCTGCCTTGTAGTATTTATTATGTTTCTGAGGTCCTCACATCTAGTAATCTCCATCTTGCCAGGCGTCTGTCATAGAGATTCTCATTTGCCCTCTGTTCTTCCCCTTTCTCTAGGGTATGGTTTTCATTTGGGGAAAGAAGTAGGAAATGGGCACTTCAAATAACAGTGTATTTGAAAAACAAAATTTATTCTTTTTTTAAAAAAAAATCATCATTTTATGACCGTTTTAAAGATGGTTCAGAAGTGAGACCACATGGGATGCAAAACAAAAAGTAGCATTCTGCCCAAAGCATCAGATAAGACATAGCAAGTTATTTAGGGCCAGATTCTCTTTCTACTAATGCTGGGTAGTATCTCACTCCATGTGGAGTACCATTAAGCCATAGCCTCAGCTGGTTTAAATGGTATAAACTGGCATAATTCCAATGACTTCAGTGGAACCATGTTGATTTACACCCCAGCCCCCGGGATCTGGCCTATAAACTTCAGTGGGGACACTCACGGAGTAAGATACTAGTCAGCATTAATAACAGGATCTGAACGTGGTCTTTTGTCTGCAGCTAAGCCCAATGCATTGTGAAATTGCCAATATTTAAGAGTAAAGTTCAGACTGTTTCATCAGCAGTACATAGCATGTTTCAGAGTAGCAGCCATGTTAGTCTGTATTCGCAAAAAGAAAAGGAGTACTTGTGGCACTTTAGAGACTAACCAATTTATCTGAGCATAAGCTTTCGTGAGCTACAGCTCACTTCATCGGATGCACCTTAGAGACTAACCAATTTATTTGAGCATAAGCTTTCGTGAGCTACAGCTCACTTCATCGGAAGTGAGCTGTAGCTCACGAAAGCTTATGCTCAAAT